GCTGATTTCACAGAATGATTCAGCAAGGCGTACCCATTTTACTTATGCAAACTAGAGTAAATGTTTTTAGAGTAGTTATTTTAATTTTTCTAAGAAGTAACCCCTTGTTACAGAGCAGCAGCTCTTCAAACTCCTCATTTGAAGCAATAAGCCTTGTCTTTAATCTGCATATTTGTTATATTTATGTTGACTTTAAACATAGAATTTAAAACATACTTTTCAGAAATCCCTTCAGAATCTTAGCCTGTCTTGTCCTAGCCTGTGATAGCTTTGTACTAATTCTGTCTCCACTTTTTCACAAAGACAATGAAAATAAACAACAGCGCAAGTCTGTAAAAGTGAACTAAAATGCAAAGCATGTCTGCATAGGCAGTGAGGTGAAGTGGTTGCTATGGAGCCAACAAACTTGTCTTCCAAATATCAGGCTTGGCTTTCTAAAGTTATATATCCTGTATCCAGTGCTAGATTATTTTCTCCACAAAGTTTAGCTCATAGGTATCTTCACCAGAGGGTTTTCGTTGGAGCATATGTGTACAAAAGGTGCATTTTTCCTGCTTTAAATGATGTACGATCTGGTAGTCAAATAGTGAAGGAGCCTCCCCTGACTATTTTGCAACTATCAAAAAATTTATCGAAAATATTAGCTGCAGCTTTAGACTTCTGGCTAACGATCAGCAAGCCCTAAAAATACGCTTAAAGTGGCATGGGGAATCTTTTGGAAAAATCTGTATGAAAAAAGAATTGAGTTCACTTGGGAATTAGCTGATAAAATATTAAACAAAACATAACAATTGAATATTCCCCACTTGGGCAGCCTTTGGCAAAAGATTGAAAGTAATGGCCCAGTGGCTGAGCTCATTGCTTTGCTATCACTAAGAAGCTTGGTTTTATATGTATTAAGCTCCATTTTAAGATTAATTTGATTACTTCCATTATTTTTATTAGAAATTTTTAAAAAGCCTTCTTCCCTACTGTTCACCTCCATAATGACATTAGGAAGGTTATACACTCTTTTTCAGCACTTACTTGCGTTAGCATTCCTACTATGGCACTTCGTGTTTGGTGTACTGCCAGCAAATTAAGTTGACTCAAGTGTGGAGTGGTTTTGCAAAGTTCAGCATATGAAGAAACGTCTAGTGCTTGCCAGTGCACTGACCATAGCAGCACAGAAGAACACAAAAGAGAAGGGTTGACTCATGTATGTTTGGGAAGTGAAAAAGAGTTTGCAATTGGATTGAGGACTAGCTAAATGAGAAGAGATGGTGAAATGTAGGGAAGGCCAGACAATCTTAAGAATGGGAGAATAAGAGAGAATGAGGGGTCTACTCTGGCTGTTTGCGCAGCACTGAGTCCTGAGTCAGAACTCGGGACAACTGCACATTTTTGTGGTTGTTGGTCAGCAGTTTAGTCATTTGAAGAGTTCCTGTAAGTTACCCTTTCAGTTACAGATTCCGAGGTATGAGTTGCATGCATGTTTGCATTTTCCACAAGACTTAGACTGGACTGACAAAGTTCAGTTTCTACTAAGAATGGCTTTTAAAATGTAATTTCATCTTACATCTAAAATAATGTGCAGCTATGATTCATATAGTATTTCTTTAAATAGAGTAGAACCTTAGGAAAATTGGAGGAGGACAGGGCCTCAGGGAGTCATCTGGTCCAACCTCCTGTTCAAAGCAGGATAAACCTCAAAGATAGGTCCGGTTGCTCAAGGAAGGCCTTGCCCAGTTAAGTTTTGAAAATATCCAAGGATGGAGAGTCCACAGCTTCTCTGGCTCTTACTCTGCACTTTTTGAAAGAGTGTGGGCTGTGTCTTCTCCCCCTTTAGGTAGTGGAAGACTGTGATTAGATTCCTCCTTGGCTTTCTCTTTTTCCAGGTTAAGCAAACCCAGTTCCCTGCATCTCTTCTCATATGCTATGTGCTTCAGCCCCCAAACCATCTTAGTGCTGCTTTATGTATTCCAGTTTTTCAGTGCCTTGTAACTGGGTGTCCAGAGCTGTAGACAGTATTCCCAGTTTGACCACATGAGTACTGAATTAAAGGGGATAATCATTTCACTTGACCTACTGGTTTTGCTTTTAGCCCAAGTGTATGTTGATAATCTACTAGTTTATCTAGTATACTCTTCATATTATATCTCTTTTTCTGTGTGCACACAGACATACCATATCATAGCAATGTATCTAATAATGTAGATGAAAGGAGGGGCATTTGAAGACATTCTAGTTTGTCGAAAAGGAACTGGTAAATTTATTAGGAAATGAAAAGGTTTAGGGCCGTGCATAATGACAGCATTGCTTTGTAGAATTTGAATTGCATCTGAAGCTTATAGTATAATTTAAAATATCACTTTTTATCAACAAGATTTTTACACCACTATATGTGGTATAAAGATCCTTTTTTATTTGTATTATTGTGTTTATATGAAGGCTTTAGATCAGAGTTGTGCTATGCTAGTATGGGTCCATGAAATAGACGCTTTTCAATTATAAATTATGTTCTGAAAATATATTCCATAAAATAGATAATGGGCACAAAGAATGCAAGAGTATTCATACACTTTGAAGATTGCATTCCGTCACTGCATTTTGCACATCTTGCTAATGTTTGCATTTGCGGATCACTATACTTAGAATCATTCTAAAATGCATTATTGTGTAGATACAATTTTATTCATGGAAAGTCAGACACATGAAACTCCCTAGAGTATGTAGTGCAGCTTGTCACTAGTATACCTAGCTTCCCCAATCTTTTCAGCAATTGTTGTTATTTTTCCCGATAGCACATCACAAGTATCCACTTTGCTGTATTTCTAAAAAGTATTTTACTAGTGTTTGCTTTTGTTTGTTCCCCAGCCATGAATGTTTTTCAGTCCATGGTCTGAGTCAATAAATTTAATTGTTTGGGTTAAACTTTTTGCTTCTGGATCACTGTTCTTGGTTTGTCATTCTTCACTCCTGCGGAAGCATGCTGGGAATATCCTAATTCTACCGTCATACTAACTGAAAAATTTAAATTTAAGACTGAGATATAGGTGGATCAAAGACAAGAGATTGTACCAAGAAAACAGAACATTTGAAATTGAATGGACTCATTAAATGAATGACTTCCTCCTGAAAATAGGGACAAACAAGAATTTGCATTTTGGCCCACAGGCACCAATGTACTGATAGATCAGCTAAATTGGCCTTGTCTACTTCCAGTTGTTTAACTGCATGAAACTTGAAAGTGGGAAGAAATCACATAGAAACTAATATGGTAGAGGAAGCTATTGTGTTTAGTCACCAAGAAAAAAAAAATTAAGATACCAAATTTAGCCGTTCTCCAAAACAAATTGACAGACTAAATACATAGGAATTCAGAGCAAGGATCAGTGAACATTCTTGTGATCTCAGTATAATTTATGTACAAAACTGCAGAGTTGATCACTTGGAATTGTATTCCAATGTCTCAAGGACAAGCATGAAGAAGGATATGTCATGATTTCTTAAAATTACTTTTTAAAAAATTTAGATCTAGCTTTCTTATTTCTGTATTGCTAGTTTAATATATTTCTTGGGAAGGACTTTTCGTCCAGTTTTATGAAGATAGAGGAATTATTCAGAATCTGGAAGGTTAGTTTTATTTTTTAATCTTAGAACTGGAAAAATCTTTGTTGTTTACAGTTTTCTTAAAATTCACATACATGTGAAATCATTCCAATTAATTTTAAAACTTGTGAAATATTTTTCCACAAGAATTTCAGTCTTCGACATAACTAGCTCTAAGGCTTCTGGAGCTGCAGAATTAAATTATTGCAGTGTTTCCTTCATTGAGTCCTTAATAGTCCCATTTAACTAACATTATTTACTGCTTCAGTAGTTGATCATTGTAAGCAAAAGAGCAATATGATGATCATCTTCGTTTAACAGAGTAAGCTGATTTGAAGCACAATATTGATCAGGATGTGGTAATTATCAACCATGGAGGGGAAGAAAAAAATCAGTTGCCTGCCTGCCTGAGTCCTAACTTTCCCAAAATTACATGTGTCCATATAAATACCAGAAGTTCTGTTAAAGGTGTCTACACTGCAAATTACTAGGAGTGGATATTTACTGTCATTTCAATAAACCTAAATTGGAGAATATTTAAATATGGAAATCATTGCACAAAGCTGTTACTGATCATCACAATACATATTTGGTATGTGTAGGTATGTGTGTACTTTACCTTCCTTTGATCTTTTATTTGCAATATTACAAAAATACTGTAGTATTCTAGTATTATATACCCCCTAACTTTTGGTAACACTAATTTTCCTATGGTGAAGCAATCATGTTTAATTAAATTATATTGACAAGATCAGTGGAAATTATTTGGTAAGCATGTTTTTAATCTAGGATTTAAAGAAAGAAGCAAGCATCACAAAGATAACTATTAAGATTTTAGATTAAGATTCATGGGAAATTATATCAAGAACAAAAACATCCTTGTATTTAGTTTTCTGTGTAGAAGCTAATTTAGACATAAGCAAAGGATAATAGGCCTGAAGAGGCCATTCATTTTAACAGTGTTTTGAGCAAAGCGGACAGTATCCAAAAGGAGTTCAAAGAGCTTTTTGTAGGTTGAAATGAAAGCTTAATTAAAAAAAAAAACACACTCAAAAAAACCTCAGCTCAGTAATCCTGTTTTTACTTATTTATCTAGCACAGCTGTAGTTAGAAGAAGTTTCTTTAAAATGTTTATCAACTCCAGAACCTTTTTTATTCTGAGCTATTCCTGAGTAGAGTTGCTTTTTTGTTGTTCTTGTAATGTGGTGATCAGGTATGGGACATAGGGAGTGCAGGGAGCATTAGGATATAGGGAGCTTTTGCATAATGCTTATTGTAGTCAATATTCTGGTTTTTTTACATTTTACATGTTTTCTTTGTATAGATTTTGAATGGCTATAAAGATCTTCACCTCTGCTATTGATAATGTTTTCAGCTTAAGTTTTGCCTTTATAACTGCCTTTTTTTAGGGTATTCCCAGTGTGGAAATTCCTACTGAATTCCAAGTCCAAAGTAATCTTAGTTGGAGTGAAGATCATTTTACTTCCAAGAAATGCTGAACATACTTTTTGAGATTTGCTGGATCACAATCTCCTTGCCTGAATACTTCTCAGACTTACTGTCAGTCAGACTGATTCTTATTAGTCGTAAAGTATTTTATCCCACCCTCATCACCTACGCTTTTGACATGTTGCTAGCAGAATGTCTCTCCTCACTTCCAGACTTATAAGAGTAGCCTTTGTTCCTATTGGTCTTGGGCTGAATTCTGATCTTCAGACAACTTAAAGGAGCATCACATTCCCAGGAACTGGTCCTCAGGGGGGGGCTTGAGTCATCCTGATACCTGATGAAAGGATAATACAGAAAAGTTCAAGCAACCTAGGAGATTTCTCAAGTGCATTGATGACAACTTCCTGGCGCAGTTGATGGAAAGGTGCTTTGCTGGACCTGATGCTTACAAATAACAAAGAACTGGTCAGGGACATGAAAGTTAAAGAAAGCCTTGCCTACGGTGACCATGAGATGATGGAGTTCAAGATCCTAAGAGAAGGGAGCAGGGAAAAATGCAGGACTACAGCCCTGGATTTCAGGAGAGCAGACTTCATCCTCTTCAGAGCTCTGCTTGGAAGAATCCCATGGGCTATGGCCTTGAAAAGAGGAGGGGACCAGAAGAGCTGGCTGATACTTAGTGATCACTATCTCCAACCTCAAGAAAGGACCTTCCCAACAAGTAGGATATCAGGCAAAAGTGGCAGGCGTGGATGAGCAAGGAAGTCCTAACAGAACTCAGACATAAAAAGGAAGTGTACAAAAGGTGGAAGCAGGGCCAGATGACCCAGGATGAATACAGAGCTCCTGTCCAGTCTTGCAGAGATGGGGTTAGGAAACCAAAAGTTGGCCTGGAGTTGAATCTGGAGAGGGATGTGAAGGGAAACAACAAAGGATTCTACAAGTACATAAACAGCAAAAAGAAGACAAGGGAAAACGTGGCCCCGCTACTGAATGGGGCAGGGGAGCTGGTGACAAATGACATGGAGAAGGCAAGATGCTTAATGCTGCCTTTGTCTCAGTCTTTACCAGTAAAAATGGCTTTTGGGAATCCCAGGCCCCTGAAACTGGGAAAGTCTGGTACAAGGGGGACTTAGACTTGGTAGAGGAGAATCAGGTTAGGGAACAGTTAAGCAGACTGGACATACATAAATCAATAGGGTCTGATGGGTTGCACCCGTGAGTGCTGATGGAGCTGGCTGATGCCATTGCAAGGTGACTCTTGATTATCTTTAAATGATCATGGTGCTTGGGAGAGGTTTGGAGAGCAAATATCATTCCTATCTTCAGGAAGGGCAAGAAGAAAGCTCTGGGGAACTACAGGCTATCTGGCCTCAGCCCAATTCCTCAAGAGGTGATGGAAGAAATCTTCCTGGAAAGGATTTCCAAAGTCATGAAGGACAAGAAGGTGACCATGAGTGGTCAGCATGGGTTTACAAAGGGGAACTCATGATTGACCAACCTGGTGGCCTTCTGCAATGAGGTGACTAGCGTGGTGGACAAGTGGAAAGCAGTGGATGTTGTTTGTAGTTACAACTATGCTTTTACTGTAGTAAAGCCTTTGATGCTTATGTGCCATAACATCATAGACAAGCTGACAGAGCGTGGGTTAGATAAGTAGACAGGTCCTGAGGGTTGGGATCAGTGTCACAAAGTCCAGTTGGAAGCAAGTCACTAGAAGCGTACCTCAGGGGTGAATACTGGGTCCAGTGCTATTCAACATCTTCATTAATGACCTGGATGATAGGACAGAGTGCACCTGCAGGAAGTTCACAGATAATACAAACCTGGGAGGAAGGGCTGGTACACAGGATGGTTGGGCCACCACTCAGAGGGACCTCAACAGGCTGGAGAATTCTCATGACGTTCAACAAGGGGAAAGGCAGAGTCCTGCATCTGGGGAGGAATAACCCCATGCACCAACCCACACTGGGGACTGACTGGTTGTAAAGCAGCTTGGCAGAGAGGGACCTTGGGGTCCTGGTGGACAACAAGCTGAACATGAGCCAGCAATGCACCCTTGTGGCAAAAAAGGCCAACAGCATCTTGGACTGCATAAGAACAGTGTTGCCCACAGGTCAAGGGAGATGATCTTTTCGGCACTGCTGAGGCCACATCTGGAGTGCTGTGTCCCATTCCCCAGTACAAGAGACACATGAGCATACTGGAGCGAGTCCAGTGCAGAGCCACAGAGATGATTAAGAGACTGGAGCATCTCTGGTATGAGGAGAGACTGAGAGAGCTGGGACTGTTCAGCCTGGAGAACGCTCAGGGGAATCTTATCAATGTGTATGAATAAAGTATGGGAGGGAATGAAGATGAGGGAGCCGTACTCTTCCCAGTTGTGCCCACTGACAGGACAAGAGATAATGGCACAAATGAAAACACATGAAATTCCATCTGAACATAAGAAAATCTTTTACTATGAGAGCGGTTAAACACTGGAACAGGTTGCCCAGGGAGGTTTTGGAGTCTCCATTTGTGGAGATACCTCAAAACCTAACTGGATATGGCCTTGGGCAACCTACTGGAGCTGACCCTGCTTGAGGAGGGGGGTTGGACCAGATGAGCTCAATAGGTCCCTTCCAACCTAAATGATTCTGTGGTTTTCCAAGTCTTAAATCCAGGCTGTAGCATCCTGTGTAATGACTGGGCTTATAAAGTAGCTTTAGCCAAGCTTAGCTCTTGTGATTTTTTTTTTTTGAATCTGCAAGTAGTGATTTGGATTTTATTACAGAATAGATCCTTGTAATACCAGTAATAAGCTTTTCAAGATGCAGACTTTTTGATGGTTTAAGAAATTATCAATATGCATATCTGTCTTACCTAAGCCCAGGAAGCCTAGCTGTGTGGCTGCTGCATAGCACAAACAGAAGAGTTGCACAAAAGATGGAAATGAATGCTTGTTTGATTTAATTGATTTTATGTATTAGTGCTGTGCTAGTTTAGTTTATAGTTGCAGCTTCTTTTATGACCATATGTTATGTATAGTACTAACATTTGTATTTGTTTTTAATTTACAGGATGGAGGTCTGCTTCTAAATAATCCTTCTGCACTGGCAGTTCATGAGTGCAAGTGTCTTTGGCCAAATGTTCCATTGCAGTGTCTGGTATCGCTGGGCACTGGTCGATATGAAAGCGAGGGAAAGACCAATGTCACATACACTAGTTTGAAAGCCAAGCTCACAAATGTTATCAGCAGTGCAACTGATACAGAAGGTTGGTGTCTTAAGACACATTTGTATTGTGACTGTTTTCAGGTTTTTATGTTTCTTAGAATTACAGATCCAATTCGGAGCTCAGTCTGCAACCTTTTGTCATTCCCTTTCTCCTCTCTGCCCACCCCACTGAAACTACCTTAAACATGTCTCTTTAACTCATCATGTATAGTTGGTGTTTTAGTACCAATATTACAGATTTTCTGGACATGATAATATAAATGTGTTTCTTAGCATTATCTCCGTGAATCTTCATCTTTACTATGTTGTTGCTAAGCTCTTTGAGTTTCTGAGTTCTCAACTGTTAATATGAGGTTGATGATGTAGGTATACTAAAGATAAAAGATACCTTAAAGTTATCAGAATGATGATAATCACAACAGGATTTATACAAAGTGATATGTTTTCACTTGTGCTTCAGGATAAAGCCATACTCAGGAATTCATTTCAATAGAAAAAAATCATATTTTCTTATATTTGGGTTGTTTTTCCCATAAACAGAAATGCTTAATAGTTAATATAGAACATTGATTTTTCAACAGCCTAAGAAAACATATTTTAGTTCTGTTCTTTTCTATACGTGCTTTTTCACATGTGCTTTTCCAGGGACTAGACTTTGTCTGCCAATGGTCATGACTTCCATTGCTGTCAGGAGGAGCCAAGCATGTGTTTTCCAAAATAAATCCTGTTCCTAGGATGGGAGTACGCTGGAACTCTTATCACTAGCAGTTTACATCTGTTTTGTTTTTATAAACAGGAAATATTGATATGCAGATGCTGTCCCTCCCTCCCCCCAAAGGAAAGTGATACTGTAAAAAGCTAGGGAACAAGAAGTACTCTTATGGTCTAGATCCCTTGCTGCATGATCTCCGTAAACTGACTGTCATTAGTAAGAAAAATCTAGATTTTGGGCCACCTTTGGTTTTTGCACAGTTGTGGAAAGGCAGTGAGAACTGTGGGAAGGACACGTGCTGCCCACAAGGGAAGAAAGTTTCATTGCAGCTGAAAATCAGGCAAGAAATTTGATGGGGAAGAAGAGGAAAGAAAAGCTCATTGTGGAGACCAAAGGAGAGGAAACGGAAAGAGAGGAGAGTAGATCAGAGCAAATGGGAAGTTATATTATGAAGGAAGAAGGGGAGAGTATTAAACAGGGCAAGAAAGACTGAATGTGGTGAGACAAGAACAGAGATACAGCTGAGTAATTTACAGGAGGAAGGACCAAGCAGGGAAGATTTCAGGTTAAGAAGAATCTTTTGCTCTAGTCTTACCCATGATACTTTTTTCACTTTAAAGTTTTTATATAACAGTAGATGTTTAAAAGAATGGAGGAGCGTGGTAAGAATGCAAAGAAGTTGGAAATAAAAGAGAATGAAAGATGAAGGAAGTCATGGAAATGGAATTTTAAGGGAGCCAACAAAGAGGAGAAAGATCTAAAAGGAGAGAGAAAATAGGTTATAGAAGAGAGGAAGAAAGGAAGAGAGGAACATACAAATACATTACATAGCAGTTTACTATTGTACTAGTTAACTGAACTGTTATAATTTAACTTGAACATTTTAAATTAAATGAATGTTAAATTCAAACCCAAAATCTGTAGGAATATATAAAAAATTAATTAGTTGCAAACAAAAGAAAGCTTTAAACCTTCATATTTTTTACTGCAGTCTTTGAGATTAGAGAAGAATATATAGCTGTCATTTTCATAATACCTACTTCCAATTGTATTGAGTGTAACAAATCATGGGTGTCCTGGATGGGAATATGTAAGTTACATTCCTGCTCTTCAGAATGCACTCTCACTTGTAAAGGAGTGGAATGTACATGTAATTAAAAATCTGGATAGCTGCAAAGCCGCCTTAATTGTCATACCAGTGAAGTTGTCTTAGAATAAAAGATGAAGCTTTTCCAGAGTAAACAGAGCTACAGGGCCATTTGCAAACCTTCTAATGAGAAAGGGGTTTTGATAAGGCAATGGTGGAAAAATGTTTACTCAGCAAAGCAGCACATATTTACACTTACTGCGTCTCTCCAGGGCACTTGTTCAGGGAGCGTAGGACTGTTTTACTCATGTAAATATGACCGTTTCCTTCATTTGTTTTCAATACAGAAGTTCACACCATGCTGGATGCACTGTTACCTCCAGATACTTACTTCAGATTTAACCCTCTTATGAATGAAGACATACCTCTGGATGAAAGTCGTAAAGAGAAACTCAATCAGCTGCAGACAGATGGAATTCGTTATTTAGAACGCAATGAAGAAAAACTGAGAAAAGCTGCAAAAATATTAACACAAGAAAAAACAACTTTGCAGAGACTTCAGGACTGGATAAGATTAAAGGCTGACATGTATGAAGGCCTTCCCTTTCTTTCCAAATTGTGAATAGGTAATGCATGAAAGAACATAAATGTAAATCTTTTTCCAGAAAATCCGTTCAAGTAAGGATTTCCTCCTGTAAAGGAGGTATGTTTATTGGGGGTAAATAACATCTTTGGAATGCTATCAGAATTCTGGAGAAAGCAATTCAGGATGGCTGTTTCGTGCACACTTACTTGATACAAGGTTTTATGGTGTTAATTATTTTCTGACCTTTACAGATCTTACTGTTGCTCTACTTAAGTTTCTTAAAGTCAGTAAAACTGAAAATTATGAAAACAATTGTGCTATGCATTTTTGGATATATGTACCATAATTATGGTGGCAGTAAAAGTTTATTTATCAACTCCCAGGCTTATTCAAAATTAACAAAAAATAAAATCCTCATTCACTTCAGTGTAGGCAGTTATACCTGTTAGGCTTTTATGTAGCCAGTGAATTTAATAGAAATGTAATGTTCTTACAAAAACTTTGCCTGTGTTGATTGCACTTTTACATTTGAAAGATAACATTTAAATTCTTTTTTTATTTTCAATGGGTTTTGTACATAACAGTATTGAGTAAGATGTTTGGATGACTATAAATGGCTTATTAAATTATCATAATTAACGGGTATTTTTGGGACTTGCTGCTTATTGTTTTATCGGGATAACTTCAGATTGGTTCATTCATTATTTGA